ATACTTGTATCTAAAAAAATAGACTAAAAACAAAGGCTATAGTAAGAAACAAAGGACATTACATAATGATAAAGGGAACAATACATAAGAGGATATAATCCCTGTAAATATTCATGCACCCAACAAAGAAGTACATAAATATATAAAAGGAATCTTGATGGGCATAAAGGGAGAGATTGACAGTAATACAGTCATAGTAAAGGATTTTAACACCACATTGATATCAATGACTAGATCTTCCAGACAGAAAGTTAACAAGGAAACAGCCACCTTAAATGACGTATTAGATCAGATGGATTCAATTGATATCTTCAGAGTATTTCTTCAAAAGCTGAAGAATATATATTCTTTCCCAATGCACATGTAACACTTTCTAGGATAGACCACATGTTAGGACACAAAACAAGTCTCAATAAATCTAAGAAGACTGAAATCATATCAAGCATCTTCTCTGACCATAAAGGTATGAAACCAGAAATCAATCACAAGAAAAAAAAACCCTGAAAAATACATGACACATGAAGGTTAAACAACATGTTACTAAACAATGAATGGGTTAACAATGAGATCAAGGAAGAAATCAAAACATACCTTGAAACAAATGAAAATGAGAACACAACAAACCAAAATCTATTGGACACAGCAAAAGCAATCCTAAAAGGGAAATTCACAGCATCACAGGCCTACCTCAAGAAACAAGAAAAATCTCAAATAAATGATCTAACATTATACTTAAAGAAACTAGAAAAAGAACAACAAACAAAGCCCAAAGTGAGTAAAAGGAAGTAATAAAGATCAAAACAGAAATTAATGAAATAGAAATTTAAAAAAATAGAAAAGATCTATGAAACCAAGACCTGGTTCTTTGAAAACACCAACAAGATCAGCAAACCTTTAACCAGACTCAACAAGAAAAAAGGGGACAGAGGCCCAAATAATACAACCAGAAATGTAAGAGAAGTAACAACTGACACCACAGATATACAAAGCATTGTAAGAAAATTTTATGAACTACTATATGCCAACAAATTGCACAATCTGGAAGAACTAGATAAATTCTTAGAAACATACAATCTTCCAAAACAATCAGGATGAATCACAACACCTGAACAGACCTATCACAACTAACGCAACTGAGGCAGTAATCGCAACACCCAACAAACAAAAGTCCTGGAGCTGATGGCTTCACAGGAAGTTTTACCAAATGCTCAAAGAAACAACACCTGTCCTCAAATTATCCCAAAAAATTCAAGAGGAGGGAAGACTCCCAAACTCATTTTATGAGGTCAGCAGTATCCTAAGTCCAAAATCAAACAAAGACACTACAAAGAAAATTATAGGCCAATATCCCTGATAAACATAGATGCTAAAATCCTCAAAAAAATAATAGCAAACCAGATCCTGTAATACATTAAAAAGATTATATACCATGACCCAGTGGGATTTATTCCAGCGATGCAAGATTGATACAATGCCACAAATCATAAACATGATACACCACATACACAAAATAAGGGATAAAAATAACATGATCATATTAATAGATGCAGATGCAAAATAGATTTTGATAAAATCCAGCACCCATTTATGATAAAAACTCTCAGAAAAATGGTAATAGAAGAAACTTACATCAACATCATAAAGGCCATATATGACAAACCAACAGCCAACAGCATACACTGGGCAAAAACTAGAAGTGTTTCCTTTAAGACCAGGAACGAGACAGGAATGCCTGCTTTCACCACTGTTATTGAACAGAGCACTGGAAGTCCTTGCCACAGCAGCAGTCAAGAAGAAAAAATAAAAGGCATCTAAATGGGAAAGGAAGAAGTAAAACTGTCATTTACAGGTGACATGATGTTGTATACAGAGAACCCTAAGGATTCCAAAAAAAAAAAAAAAACCTACTAGAACTGATAAATGAATTTAGTAAAGTAGCTAGCAAAATACAAAATAAATATCCAGGAATCAGTTGCATTTTTCTACACCAATAATGAACTATCAGAAAGGGAAACTAAGAAAACAACCCCATTTACAATTGCATCAAAAAAAAAAAAAAAACCTTAAGAATAACCTTATCCAAGAATGTAAAAGACCTGTACTTGGAAAATTATAAGACACTGAAGAAATAAATTGAAGATGATACAAACAAGTGAAAGCATACACTGTGTTCATGGACTGAAGAATTAACATCATTGAAATGTCCACACTACCCAGGGCAATCTATAGATTCAACACAATTCCTATCAAGATACCAACGGCATATTTCACAGAACTAAAACAAATATTCCAAAAATGTTTATGGAACCACAAAAGACCCCAAATAGCCACAGCAATCTTGAGAAAGAACAAAGTGTGAGGAGTCATGCCACCAGATACCAAAGGCCACAGTGATCCAAACAGCAGGGCACTGGCATAAAAACAGATATATTGATCAATGGAACATAACAGAGAGTCCATAAATAAGCTCACATGTTTATGGCCAATTAATGTTTGACAAATGGGGCAAGATCATACAATTGGGTAAAATAGAGTATCAATAAATGGTGTTGGCAAAATTAGATATGTACAAAAAATGAAACTAGATCACCTTCTTATACCACACACAAGAATAAACTCAAACTGATTTAAAGACTTAAATGTTAGACTCAAAACCATAAAAATCCTAGAAGAAAACATAGGCTATAAAATCTTGGACAGTTCTCATACCAATTTTTTTGGCATATCTTTTTGGGCAAAGGCAATAAATAAATAAACACATGGGACTACACAAACTAGAAAGTTTATGCACAGCCAAGGAAACCATCAACAAAATGAAAAGACAACCTGCTGAATGGGAGAACATATTTGCCAATGATACATCTGATAAGCGGTTAATATCCAAACTCTATAAAGAACTGATAAAACTCAACACCAAAAAAACAAATAATCCAATTTTTAAAATGGGCAAAGGACCTGAATAGACACTTCTCCAAAGACAACATACAGATGGCCCACAGACATATGAAAAGATGCTCAACATCACTAATCAGAGAAATGCAAATTAAAAACACGAGATATCACCACACACGGGTCAGAATGGCCACCACTAATATGTCAACAAACAACAAGAGTTGGGGAGGATGTAGAGAAAAGGGAACCCTTATGCACTGTTGGTGGAAATGCAGCCACAGTTGGTGACTGGTGCAGCCAGTGTGGAAAGCAGTACGGAGTTACCTCAAAAAATTAAAAATTAACTGCCACATGACCTAACAATTTCACTTCTGGGAATTATCCAAAGAAACCAAAAACACTAATTCAAAAAAAATATTCATGCACCCTTATGTTTCTTGCAGCATTAATTACCACAGACCAGATTTGGAAGCAGCCCAAGTGGCCATCAGGAGATCAGTGGATAAAACGCTGCGGTACGTTTATGCAATAGAACACTACTTGGCTGTAAAAAAGAAGGAAGGAACTCTAACCCTTTGCGACAGCGTGGATGGACCTGGAGAACATTATGATAAGTGAAATAAGCCAGTCAGTGAAAGACAAAGCCATATGATTTCACTTATATGTGGAATCTAATGAACAAAATAAACTAACAAAATAGAAATAGACTCAGAGAGAGCAGACTGACAGCTGTCAGAAGGGAGTGGACTCGGGGGACTGGGTGGAAAAGGTGAAGGGATTACGCAAAAATATAAAAATAAAAATAAAAGGTCATAGACACCGACAACAGTACGGTGATTACTGTTTCAGAGGGAAAGCGGGACGCGAGGGTCCGGGGGGTAGAAGAGGGTAAAGCGGGGCTCCATGGTGACGGAAGGAAACCTGACTCGGGGTGGTGAACACACACAGATGATGCATTATCAAATTGTACACCTGAAACCTATGTAATTGTATTAACCAATGTAATCCCAATAAATTCAACAAATAAAACAAGGAAAAAACCCAACTATATCATAATTACGTAAAAGTAAATTACCTAGAGAGTTCATTATTCAAAGGCCTGTAACGTTTCTCAGGCTGAATGAAAAAAGCCAACCCCAGCCCTGCGCTGAACCTCTCTGGGTCCCCACGAATATCGGGCGCGCGATCCCGCCTGAGTCGCAGTTGCTCTCCCTCCCGGGGGCCCCTCCGCGCCCCGCACCTCCTGCACTTCGCGTCACGGAGTCCGAGCAGCCGTGGCCTCCCCGGTAAGTGTCAGCGCGCACAGGTGTTACTGCCCCGGCGGTGGGTGGGGGGAGGGGCTATAACGCATTCCCAGGTGATGCGTGTGAACTGCCGCGCCCAGCCCAGCGTGTCACTAGACCGAACCCCCAGGTAAAGATAGGGCCGCGGGAGGCTCTGGTCTCGGAACCCGCGGGCACTGGGACCCCACCTGCCCTCCCCCGGCCCCGGGCGGCGTGCGCTGCAGGCGGAGTGCGGGGCGGGCTCCGGCCCGGGGCGCTTGGCGGGGTCGCGGGAGCCGGGCGCGGGGAGCCAGACTGGGGATGCGGGGGGCGCGGGGGCCGAGGGGCGCCGGCAGCCGGGCGGGGGCCGCAGGCGGGGCATGGGAGGCGGGGCACGCGAGGCGGGGCACGCGGGGCTGGGGGCGCGGAGCCCCGGCGCGGGAGACCCGGTGACGCACCAGTGACGTCGGCGGCGGGCGGGATTTCCCAGCCCCTCCCGGGCGCCCGGGGAGACCCCGCTGCGGAGCGGCCGCGACCCCCGTGGGCCAGGGGCGGGGCCGATCGGACAGGCGCCCAGCGTCCGGCGGGTCTCGCTCGCTGGCTCGCGCTCGGCCACTGCAGCCGCTCCCAGGCCCGCGACAGCTGACGGCCCCCGCTCCCCGCACGCGCCCACGGGGCGATGCCGCGCGGCCTGGCCCCCCGCGCGCGCCGCGCCGGAGACAAAGCCCGCGCGTGAGCGGCGGCAGGGCGGTGCGGACGGCGGCGCTGCCCGGGCTCCGCGCTCGGGGGAGCGGAGACGAACGGGAGTCGGCGGAACGTCCCGGAGCCGGAGGGCGGTGCCGGTGCCCGTGGGGCTGCCGCGCTCCGGAAGCTCGCGGCCCGACACGCCGCAGCCAGAGGTTCGGCGGCAGGTGCGCGGCTGCCCTGACCCGGGGCTCTCCGCCGAGCGCAGGTGCGTACGGGCCGCTCGGACCGCCCCGCAGTCCCCTGGGGTCGGCGTCGGAGGCGGCGAGGCTCCCGGGGATCCGTGTCCATATGTAGGTCAGGGAGGGTCGCTCCTCTCTCGGCAGCGGCGTCCCCGTTGAACCAGACCGTCATGGAAGGGTTGTGCTGGCCAGTTGGTCATTCTATTGGGGGAAATGCTTTCGGTGGGCACCAGCAGAAGTTCTGTTGATTCCTGACAGCCGGGACACCTGCCTCAAAGCGGCTCCGAGGACGACGAGGCGAAGCTTTGTCCCCTCCTATGGCGTCTGTCCCCGCGGCTGGTGCTGAGCTGCACTGCGCTCGCGGCGCGCACCCGGTGGCTTTAGGGAGCGTTGGTCTGATTTTCTGGTTGCCTTAGAAATAATAACGGGAGGACAAGGGGCAGAGGTGTGGCTGGAGAAGGCGACTTAATTTAGGAGGATTTGCTTATTTTGTGCATTTTGAACTAGAGTATTAGGAAGTCCGAAATGTGAAAGTTTGATCAAGTGGTGAAGTGGCTGGTGGCCACCCAGGCCCCCTCCGCACCCCCAGTTCTCCCGGTTTTCCGTTCCCTCCCAGGTCTGTAAAAGGCTGGTCACAGCCAGAGGCCTGCTGGGCTGCACTCTGGTCCCTAGGAAGACGCGCCAGTGCCCCCTTCTGCGTCCCAGGCCTCCAGGGGGACCGCAGAACCCAGGGGCCGGAGCCTCAGAGCGGCCGTGAGCGGACCCGGCTCAGCGCTGGCCCCGGGGCTCTTTGGGGAAGCCCGTTCCCTGGCGGTTGCGTGCGGGGGAGGGGTGGGCGGCGCCGTGAGGACCTGGCCCTGTCCCCGCAGAGGCTGCAGGGGAAACCCCGGGTGGAAGGCCTTTCAGTCCCGAGAGAGGAGACCCCGAACCTGTGAACTGTGGGTTGTTTCCAGAGTGTAAAGCTGGCTCCCTGACCAGTCGCTGGGAAAGGCCGGCGTAGCACTAGTCGGTGTCGGCGTAAACACGAGGCGTGCCGCGGTGCTGTGCCAGTTCAAGGAGTGGCCGCACTGGGGTTATGAGGCTGAAATGACCATTTAGGACAATGGCCTTCCTGTTTGCTCCTCCGTCCGCACGTGGCCCCAGGCCTCAGCCTCCCTGCAGGAGGTTGCCGAGCGAAGCCCCTGAGATCGCGCCGCGGAAGGGCCGTTCCCACGGCCGGGACTGGCGAGACATCGCCTTTGTCGGTGGTGGGAAAACCAGGAAAAAGCTTTCACATGTGCCTTTTCCAGTTTTTACAGCCAAACTGGCAGTCCCCGACGCCCCCAAATCTCTGTACCTTCTCGGAAATGGTGGAGCGTCAGGTGGGAACTTGGGCCCTGGTCCCTGGGGGAGCAGGTCCCCAGTGGCTGCGTCTGGGGGCGCGGCGGGGCCTTCGGAGCGCCTGTGTGTAACGCGCCCCCGCACGCGCGCACGCGCAGCCCCACCGCTTACGGGGGGGGGGCGGCCAAATGGCTGAGAAATGACTGACGTCTACACCACAACCAGTCTCCTTTATTTATAGCCACGTCTCACTCTCACATTTTTTTCTCAGTTCCTCCCGTTTTTGTTCTACTTGAATAAGAGAATGCCTAAAATGCAATGTATTTTAATTGCCCTTTTTCTTCATGGAATTTTGGAACAGTATCTTCAAGACATTACCTGATTTGCTTTCAGAACACCTTTGTGAGCATATACTACTCTCCGATCTTGCAGATTTTCCTTGTTTACTTGGTATTTTTATTGGCTCTAGGCATACGTAGGCATAAAGAGACTTACTATCCAGGTGGAGAGATTATATGTTCAGTTTTTGTAGCCCAGAAACTGAAATTTAACTTCTTTAATACACCAAAAATACTATAAAATGTCCTTTTAACAGTAGCCAGGCTGGTTGGACTGCCAGTGAGAGAAGCTGAATGAGTGTCAGAAGAAGGAAAACCACGGCCCGCTGTCGTGTATAAAAGTGGGCGTCGTGCTGCCGCGAGTTTCCGGCCCCCCGGCTTGAACGGCGGGGAGAATGAGCAGGTGTCCTCAGGAAGCGGCCGGAAGTGGAAACAAACGCAGATGAACCTTCCACTTGGGGAAGGAAGTGGAGGCGAGAAACGCTGCTGGTGAAAAGCGCCTCAGAGGAAAGAGCGAGGCCGCAGAGGCCAGCGGCTCAGACGCGAGCTGGACTGTCCGCGCCCGCTCGGCCAGGGGGCTTCTGTGAGGTCAAAGGGCCGCCGGCCTGGGCCCGGCGTCCGTGGTGGCCCTCGGCAGACCGCGGCAGGTCTTGCGCCGAGGGGAGCGTGCGTGTGTTGAAGGCGTGGTGCTCGTGCCCGGGCTCCAGGCGTCCGGGGCGGCGGAGGTCTTTGCAGCCGCGGGGGAGCGAGCGTCCCCGCGGCCCTGAGGGTCCCGGGCAGGGCCCAGGCTGGGGGGACCGGCGGGGAGGAGGCCGGGTCCGCTGGCAGTGGGGAGGGAGCGCCTCGTGGGCGCATCGCAGGGCGGCCTCGTTAGTCCTCACACCACAGCTGCACCGTTTCTCTTTAGCAAAACACAGGGTGACCGCCGGCAGGGTGTTTGGTGGACGGTGGCGACTTCTTAACTAACCAAGGACAAGCGTCTGCCCACGGAAGTGAGAGCGGCCGGGACGGGGAAGAGCAGGGGAGGGGGTGAGACACCCAGGGCCTCGGAGGCTCCTCTGCCCGCTTGGCTCACGTTTCTCAGACCTTTGCTCCCTGGTGCCTGGGAGGGAAGAGAGAAGACGTCAAAGACGTGGGTTAGCATCCCTCGGGGCCCTGCCTTCTCTGCTGAGGCCGTGCGCACAGCGCGGAGGACAGCCCTCCACCCAGCCGGGGCGCCTCTCCACTTTCTCGTTTGTCCCTGCGCATCCTCCTGGCGCGCACGTCCAGTGTGTGCCGCTGTGGGCCTTCGCTTCCACCCCGTCCTGTCGCCCCCAAAGGAGGAAGGAGGGGATGGCGGCGGGGAGAAGGAAACATCATTCAGGGTTTGGGGAGTTCTTATTAGAACACTTTTATAACTGCCACAAAAGGTGTCGCATGACAAATAAATGTGCTCCCACGTCCCGCCCCCTGCGTGAAGGTCCAAGCAGGAGAAACAGAATTAGAGAACAGGAGGGAAAGAGCAGGGGCGTGCGGGGGCGGGGCGCCGAGGGCTGCCTGTGGCCAGCAGGCTGTTGTCCGTGACACGGAAGCTGTGGCCCAGGTCTGACGCTGCTCGGGGGCAAAGGCAGCGAGGTCTGCTTCCAGGTCAGGCAACAGGGCCTGCCTTCCTGTGCCCAGAATCAAATCATGAGCCCCCCTTGCAAAGAGCTGTTTTCTCCCCCGACACCCACTGTCCTTGGGAGGTTCCGGCAGCCCGGGACCCTCACAGACTGAGTCTCTACTGCGGGAGACCCCCCTTCTTATCTGCGACCCCTCTTACAGGGGCCTCCAGCCTCCGTTTTTGCTTTCTCTGAGTCAGCGTCCACACCAGCCCGAGGACCGCTGTCTCTGCAGCCTGTGTCCGCTCCGGCCTGGGCCATCTGTCCTGTCGCCCGGGGGCACCTGCTCTGCGTGCCTTGATGGCAACAGTAGGGGAGGAAGGAAACTTCTCCTCCGTCCTCTTAGGTTCCGTGTCTGCGGCCTGTGAATTAAGCTACAGCAGGAGAGAGAACAGCAGGAAAGGCTGGTCGCCTGGCCTGCCGTGAGAGCCGCGCCGCCAAGCAGGGGGGCGGAGGCCCGGCGCCTGTATTGAAACAAAGGGAGAGAAGTTGTGGGAAGGTGACAAGACAGCGGGGACACTGAGTTCCTAGAGACGGTAAATTTGGGAAGGTGACTAACAGACGGCAGATGAGGGCTGGCTTGGGGAGGTCGGCCGGCCGGTGAGGCCGCCGGCCTGCTCGGCAGTGGGAGGTGGCCAGGCGAGCCCGCACCCCGGGAAAGCTAGGTCCTGCGGGGGAGGCCAGGGCAGTCCTGCTGTGCCGCTGGCTCTTCACTGCCCTCAGCTCAAAACCCTGCCTGTGCCAGAGTGGCCCGTTTGGGGTGGGGCGTTCGGATCCCCTTCCCCATGGCCAGCAGAGACCAAGCCCTTTCCTCAGCGGAGCCTGCAGCCCCCAGCCCGGGGTGCGCCAGGCCAGCGTGAGGAGTCCTACTCCGTTTGGTTTGCTCTGTTTGCCCTGTGCCCCTGAGAGCTGCTCTCACCGCCCAGGGCCTCTGCCATCTGCAGCTGCTTGTTTACCCCCCACAGCTGTGGGGCCGCACCCTGGTTAAGGGGACAGGTGACCGAAGTGTACAAGTGCACGTTCGACGGGGGAAGCCAGGGGCGCGGGAGCCGACCCGAGCACTTCCGGGCAGCGGCAGGCCTGGGAGCAGAGACCCCCGCGGTGAACCTCAAGGGAGGTAACACAGGGACGGACAGCGACGTCAGCCACCAGACAGTTTCTGGAGGGAGGGGAGGCGAAGGCCATTAGCTGGCCTTGTCAGCATTCTGTGCTCTGCTCTTTCGCTGAGTTTCATCCAACGGGACTGCAGTCTCTGCTCACCTAGACCCTCTGGGTCCCTGGTAGATCCCGCTCTGGACCCGCCACCCCGGCCCCGGCCCCGAGTTGGAGTCTCAGCCCCATCCTCCTCCTCCTGGTCGGTCTGGTGGAACTGGCTCATCCGTGCCCGCTCGGTACAGACGGCAGCGAGCACACCCTCTGCCGCCGCTCAGCCCTGTCTCCACGTGCTCGCGACCGTGAGGAAGGCAGACACTGGACAAGAGCGCTTGTGTCCTGCCTCAGGGACCAACCCCTGTCCCTGAGGCTCACTGTGCCCTCTGATGGGTCAGGTTCCCCTGAACCCGCTGGTTTCTCTCTGAACCCTCTCCTTGGGCTAGAGTTTGGTGTAGTGAACCATGTTTGCAATAAGCTGATCATTGGGCCGGACCCAGGCACAGCTTTATTAAACAGAAGTTTTGTTTATCGTGGAGTTTGCATCCCAGAGACCTGCTGGTCCGCACTGTGACCAGC